GAAGGAAGGAAGGAAGGAAGGAAGGAAGGAAGGAAGGAAGGAAGGAAGGAAGGAAGGAAGGACAGGCAGGGCAGGCAGGGCAGGCAGGGCAGGCAGGGCAGGTAGGCAGGCAGGGAAGGAGGGATCAAGAGAGGGAGGGAGGGAGGGAAAGAAAAGAAAAGAAAGAAAAAAAGAAAAGAAAAATTACCATGTAATTGTAACCCCTCTGTACAGTATTTTCACAATAAAAAAAAGAAAAATTATGTATTATGGCTCTTTCAATTCTCCCTTTTTGGGGGGAGGTAGGACGCTGTACTTAGGCAGTACTCAGAGCCTTATGCTTGCTAGGAAGGTGTTATAACATTTGAGCCATGCCTCCACTCCCTTAAGCATTCATTATTTTCAGGTAGGTTCTTGTTGTTATGCCCAGGGTCAGGCTGGGATGTAATCCTTCTACTTGTGCTTCCTTGTCTCTCTGGGGATAGCAGGTAGGTACCATTGTACCCATTCACTGAACTTTCCCCATAGCTGGGAAAACAGTTGAGTGCCACCACATCTAGTCCCTGATTAAGATGGAGTCTCAGGAATTTTTATGCCTGGGCTTGCCTGGTATCAGGATCCCAGGATCCACCCCACAAGCAGCTAGGACCACAGGATTGAGCCATCACACCTAGCCCATTTTTTTTTCCTTTTAGGCTTTTAATGTCCTTACATAGGCAATGATGTTTCTTAATTTTACTGAATAAAAATAATGTCCAACTTTGCAGTCATTCTCTTTGTCCTCCAGACCTGTATTCAATTCTAAATTCAACAGCTTTTACAAACTACTCCTATTACAATCCAGTTCCTACTTGAGATAACAGAAAAAAGGAAATAGCTTTTCAGAGACAGACAGTTGGATTTTTCATTTCAACCTTCACAATCCTGATTAAGATAATGCTAATATAAATTTGGCAGTGGAAAATTATGTCATAATCACAAGATACATCAAACCAGTTATAAAATCATCACCAAATTTGGAGCTATAGGTTTATAAAATTTTTAAAGGATTCATTGTTCTCCACTTGAAAAATACGTAAGCATACAATTTAATTCATTATTCAATGTTGTGATACAGTCTACATAAGCTACAGTATACCATAAGATATAAACTGCCCCATGATCAAAGAAGATTACATGCTAAATGTTGGGTAATATTTCATCTGCACAATGAGCAAAAACTAACAAGTCCAGATTACTTCTAAACCTAAAAAGGAGGACTGACACCCACTGCTTATTTTTTATGACTTAGAACATAATGTAAGGGAAGAAAATATTAATTACCTAGTTCTAACAAAACTATGTAGAAAAAAAACAGAACAAGGAGTTTTTAGGCCACAGTAAGACCCCTATGTATTACAGAACATAAATGATTTAAGAATTCAATTAAAACAGAAAAGTATTAAAAGAAGAGCACAGAAGATGTGCTTTTCAAAAATTGGCTTATAAAGGGAAAGGGATGATAAGAGTGAGAAAGGCACTAGCGAGACTCCTTACCCATTGTTGCTGGTGCTGGAGCTTCCTGATGGTATTCTCAGCGTGCTCCAGCTTAGCACTGGCCTCATCACTCTGCTGTTTGATGGTGGCCAACTCCCGTTTTATGAGGTAGTTTTCCTCAGCCTCCTGGGCTCTTGTCACTTGTCCCTTAGGACATAATTTTTATGTGTGTGTAAAGCAATTTAGAATAGATTCAAGAAAGACTGCCTTTTGTGAGGTTTAGTTATTTATTTTGCCATGTTAAAAAAAATCACCTGAGAAAACAGAACAGCCTAGGTAATTATAAGCTAGCAATGTGTTATTGCTCCAGCAAATTTGGGAAAACTAAATAAAAAGTTCTTTTCTTGAGTTCCTTCCTCAGTCAATAAAAATTCAGTTCATGCATTATTACTGAGTTGTACATGCAGGACTACACTTTTTAATACAATGGTTAATATCACCAAATCCACTGATTGTCATTTTGAAATAATTACTTTAAAAAATAAGGTTAGCTTTTAAAACGTGCAAAAAGTGCCTATTTGAATGAAACAAAGTAACAGTCATCCAAAATTAAGTTTTTCCCATATACTACCCAAAATTATAGCAAAATGCATGTAAAATTGCATGCATTAAAAATACAAACTTCTAGGTTCAGAAGTGTCCTTAGAAGTAAAGTTAGAGAAAATGCTTTAAAAAAAAAAAACCCAAAACAAAAAAATATATACCTGTATCAATCTATCTGCCAAGGAAGCACTTTCCTACAAAGGGAAAAATTCAGATAGCAATGTAAGAGAAAGGAAAATAAAAGTGATAAAATTAGGAATAAGAAGACACAAACATACCCAAAATCCACCTACTTTTCACTGTTTTAAAATGGACATTTTAACTTTAAAATTATTTCCACTGAATGTACATTTATTAAGCCTTAAAAAAGATTAAAACAAAGATAAACTGCAGAAAATCAAGTGTTTCTAGAAGAGACCAAACACAAATTCCAAGTACTTTTTGATTACCAAAACAAGTAAATACTGTCTCATGAAAGTATTACTTTACATCTTTTTTGTATATCTTAATCACATCATCAAACCATTTATGTGAAAAGCAGAAGGAATTCAAGTAAGCAATTTCACTTACAAAGTGTGACAGTCATTTGTATAACAGCAACATCCAAAGAAACAGAACAAAGAAAATGACTAGTGAAATAAACAGACCACAGTAACAACTGAGGAAGTAAACTTCTTGGTTATAGAATTCAATAGATACTTAAGTATTTCTAGAATTATAAGTGCTAAGTGACATACCGAGGCCACCTAAACCAGTAAAAAAAAAAAAAAGGCACTTGAAAATTCTAGAAGCAAAATCCAAACACTTTCTACAACTTCTTTTTCATTCTGAAGGTTCAATAAAGAATGCTTTCTCTATAAAAAATGTCTCACTTCAATGATTTTAAAACCTACCTAACAAGTTGGATATTTTACTATAAACACAGGGGAGAATTAAGTTAAGCTAACTTAAAAACAACTAAACTAAACATTTACGTGGGGTCACCAAAAAGTAGAAATACCTTCAAAGTAACTTTATTACAATGAGAGACATACATAGAAACTGTGTTTGACTTAATATATCTGCAATTAATAGACAACAGGCATATAATAAATGTCCTACTATAAAACAATAAATAAACTGAATATAAAATTGCTTAAAAAAAAAAAGAATACTGCAAACTAACCCCCTTTTCAGGTATTTCTTTCCTAGGTATTCATCCATAAATTTTCAGATACAATTTTAAAGACATTTGGCAATATCATAAGGGGTAAATTTAAACCCACTTACTTTCTCTCATGTCTTAGAGCCAAAAGAGTTCGTGAATTCAAATTTCCTTTTAATTAAACTATGCTTTTATTACTCAATTCATTCTTACAGCATCAGAAATACAAGTACCAAAGACATTATATCAAAATCACAATATGAAAAAGTCTAAATTTGCCAGTTATTTTATATAAAACAGAGAAAAAAGGTAGTAAGAAAATATCAAAATAACTCTTGACAACCAAAAGTTTATATATAACTCCCTATTGTGAAAAGCAGTATGAGTGAATTTATATAGAAGAAATTAATTACTCTGACTAAAAACAAGTCTAATCCTTATAAAAGAACCATTGCTACATTTAAAATGTGGTTAAAACATTAAAATGTAGGTAACATATAAAATGTAATTATAACATTAAATAACATTTGAAACTCATCTTTCAAATGTGGCATCCTAATGGAGTCCTACCACATATTTTAGAGGTTATATGTAAATAAGGAAATGACATCAATTATGTTACTCAATGACCTCAATTGAAACTTCAATAAAGGTTCATGGACTACTACAAACTTTTATTATTAACTAGTTTGGTTAAACATAGTAAACTAGGCAATCTACCACAACTTAGGAGATTACATGTTCCATTTTTTGAGAATTTTAAGCAGACCAAAAACATAATAAACATTCAACAGTAACTTTTAGTACTCATTTACTTACTTTTTCTAATGTTTCAATGCGCTGCTTCAATAGTCTATTTTCAGTGCGTAACCTCTGCCAAAAAAAAAAAAAAAATTTGCTTACAAGCACTCTAGAAAGGAAAAGATTCTTAAATCAAAATCTTTTGACAAATACAAAAAGACTCAAAAGAATAGTTATATTGCCATATGTCAAACCATTAAAAGCTAAAAGAAATCCATAGCAAAAAGGAAATAATTTATAATTCTAGATGTACCTGAATTTTAAATATAGTCTATAATATATAAATAACCCACTGTTTTTTATACTTATCATGGCTTATGATAAAATTTCTTTAAAAATTTTTGGGAAGGAAGTGGTGCTGTAGCTCAAGTGGTAGAATGATAGCCTTGAGCTGAAGAGCTGAGGGACAGTGCCCAGGCCCAGATTTCAAGCCTCAAAC